TCCTGTCAGACAGAGCAGTCGTTAATTCGTGTTAATCTGGAGTTAAACTGTCAGATCAAAGTGTTTAATCTGCAGCAGCTGTCGGTTCTCTAATCCGCTGAGGATCTCCAGATTAAACGCTGCAGGAACACTCAGGATTTATTCCTCACTGTAACACCTGATTTCTAAACCCTCTGACATGCTGCTGAAGCTCTGACAGGAACACCTGCAGACCAGTGGACATGTCTGGTGGGGGCGCAGTCTGCAAGTGACCTTTTATTTAACATCAGAAATTAGAATATGAGTAACACCAGACACAACTATTTACAGGAATGTAAATGTTCTACTTGGAGGATGTTCTAATAATAACTTAATTGAATATTAAGACCGACCAGAACTAAACTTCAAAACCATTCATCAAGCTTTCATCAGTATTTACAGGATCTGTGCAAACTCACAACACACAACAGAAATAACAAAAAACACAGTTCAGGGCTCCAGACGAACTCTTTCACTGGCAGCACCGGTACGACCCACTTTCTCATTTTGTTGCACCTCCCACCTGGTCACAGGCAGAACGTGTGACAGGCTGAACATTTTCTTATGGATAGAGGATTTCCTGACGCTCCCTGAACGCCCCACACAGCAGGCTGGGAGCTGCTGCTGGAGGCTGAGCTGCTCTGACAGGTGTGTGACCAGGAATGACTTTAAAAAAAGCCCAGTTACATGAATTCTACTCGCCGTCTTTTCTCCACTGGCAGCAGGCCGATGCATGAAGCCACCAGTCAGGAGCTGTGATCCAGTAGCAGAGGAGGAGGAAGGTCATGTGACGGGTCAGATATGTGTTTAAAGCTCAGTCGTAAGAACGTCAGAGGACAGTTTTATATCCAACCACACAAGACAAAAGCACATAAAGACTAAATTAACTGACTTACAGCAGAAGTGGGCGGGTCCAGGACGCACCGAGCTGCGCCCTGTGAGAAAGTCTGCGGCTGCCAATCAGAGCTCGGGCCGAGGTCACATGATCACAAAGTGCTTCAGCTCCACACACTCATGTGGCCGCGCCGCATCCAGGAAGTGTAGAATTAGTGAACACGCAGTAGAGACTGATATTACATCTGTTCATAATACAAATATTGATAATATGGCAAAAGAATATGAAAGAATATGAATTTGAATTAATTATAACAAAACAATGATAACATTTTTTTGCTATTATAATTAATTCAAATCTAAATTTCCTTTGAGTTCTACTCTTCATCTGGTCACTGGCAGCGAGGTGCTGACCAGCCGCCACTGCTGCTACTGAACTCCTCCTCTGATTGATCACCCTGATTATTGATGCCTGATACCTGAACTAAGGACATTCACCCTAAACCGTGCTCATGTTGACCTCTGTTAGGACTCACAGCAGCAGGTGAGACACTCTGACAGGAGCACCTGTGCAGCCCAGGTGTAACTTCAGGTGTTGAAACATGGCTGTGTGTGTGTTGCCTGTGTGTGTTCAGAGGTGCTGCAGTGTCTTGTTATGGTCTGTCGTCACGCTGGTCGTCATAGCAGCCGTTGTCACAGCAACTGCCACCATCCTGTACCTGAACCAGTATCCTCTACCGTTCATCAGCAGGTAACACACCTGTCAGTCCGTCACCTGTCTGGCTACTTGTGTGTTTCTTATTCTGCCTGAGTGTAAATGTGTGGTTGTCGTGGTAACAGGGGTGGAGTCTCCTCACCTGTGATTTCAACCAATCCTAAAGACTCTGGTGCCCTGGTGACGGTGTCGCGTGTCGTGGATGGAGAACCAATCAGCATCTTCCTGGACCCGAACTGTCCGGACTTCAGCGAGCACTTTGTGCGCTGGGAGGCGCTGCAGAGCTCGCTGCTGAGAACACTGTCCAATCACAACACAGATGACTGGCAGGAGAGGGGATTGGTCCAGAAGCTGGCTGAGGAGCTGAAAGTGTTAGCAGGCCACGCCCACAACCTAAGGCTGGAAGCTGATTCGCTGAAAAGAGGTCAAGGTGTTCTGGATCAACGGCTGGACGGACTGCAGAGCGAGCAGAGCCGTATCATCCAGGTAGTAATCACGTTCAGTTCAACTCAGTTCAATTTTTACAGAATTACAGAATCCGTCCCTGTGTGTACCTGGGCAGGTATTATCTGACAGCCACTCAGGTGTGGTGAAGCTGGCAGCAGGTTTCAGTGATTCTCTGCTCAGCCTACAGAGGGAGACAGAGAGTCTGAGGAGGCTGAAGAGTGAGCTGAGCCGAGAGAGCACGCTCACAGGTAACATACGCACAGGTAACATACAGGTAACATACAGGTAAAGCATAGATAACATACAGGTAACATACAGGTAAAGCATAGATAACATACAGGTAACATACAGGTAACATACAGATAACGCATAGATAACGTATAAGTAACATACAGGTAACACATAGATAGCATACAGGTAACATACAGGTAACGCATAGATAAC